TGGCTACGGCGGAGGAGGAGGAGGAGGAGGAGGAGGAGAGGAGGAGGAGGAGGAGGAGGAGGAGGAGGGAGGAGGAGGAGGAGGAGGAGGAGGAGAGCCCCCCCTGAGCCAGAATCGGCCCTTGTCTCAGAGCCTGGACTGCACCCCGGGCCCCTGCCGGGAAGTGGCGCGAGCGCACACGGCCTGGCGGGGGCTGCGCGCTGGCATGCGCGGGCGCGGGGCCGGCAATCCCTGCGCCAGACCCTGAGATCCGACGATGCGAACATCGCGACACAAAACTGGATCGGAGCCCTAATTACACGACATCCTTCTGATGCACCCTGTCGAGCCAGATCGACCCGTGGTGCACTTTTCGAGCCAGATCGACGGTTCGAAAGAGTTGCAACGCCCAGATCTCAGGGTGCGAGGTAGAGCGCAAGAGGTGCACGGTGCCACACGCTGCGTGTGCACTAGAGGAAGAGAAAACGGCACAAACATGAACTGTTGGCGCTCCGCGCAGATTCCTTGGGATCCGCGCTGGACCCCCCTCCCTGGCGCGCCGGAGGCGCCACCGGGGGAGGGCCCAGCGAGGATCCAAGAGATCCGCGGGGAGCGCCAACAATTTGTGTTCATGTCATTTCTCCGTCGTCGATGCACGCCAGGGCCCGGCCACAGGAAGGACGAGCGGCACAGCTTCACGCTGCCCAGCGCTTTCGGTCGGGCTCCCCCTACAGGGGGATTTTGGATTTTGGAAGAACTAATAAAGTGCTTCTGTTTTACACAAACAAGTCCCTATACTATGTTTGTACTATTTTTGAGCATTCCTCCTGTATAGGGACAGGCCCGACTTAACGCGCGCGGCGCGTGAGCGGCAGGAGCCTGCCGCGCGGCCGCTCGCGGTCCTCACCGCGCGGGCCGCTCACGCAGCCCCGACCAGCCTCCGCGCCCCTGTCGGCCCCGGCGTGGCTGGTTCCAGAACCCCCCGAACCCAGAAACCAAGGCCCCCTCGCGTCGTGAACAAATCACGACGAAAGATTTTTCGCTATGTTCACCCTCTGGAAATCCTTACCGGGCCTCGGGACCGTCAAAAAACGATTCGGGATGAAAAACCGTTCCAGGGGAATGGGTCCAGACCGCTGGGGGTCGACGTTGTGAACAAAATCACGGCGTCGGGGGTCTGGGAACGCTGCCATCCCGGGCCCCCTCGCGCTGTGAACAGCAATCACACCGGGAAGTTCTTCGCACTTCTCGGCCTCTGGGGGGCCCTGGCCGGGCCTCGGGAGACCGTCAAACTCGTCTCGGGATGAAAAGCCCGTCCTGGGGAGTGGGTCCAGACCTCTGCGGGTCGCGTCACGAACAGAATCACGACGTCGGGGGCCCGGGGCCCTGAACCCAGAACTGCTGCCATCTCTTCGGGGGGGACTCTGTCCTTCCGCCGGCTTCTGCCAGCCTTGCGCCGCCTTCCGCCGAGAAAGGGGCATCAACTTCTCGACTTCACGAGGACTACCCAGACATGCGACGTTATGATTGTTTCAATACGGGGTCCCTGGAACCCCCGACCCTCGCCCATGGGACCAGCTTTCATCCCGAGCCGTGTTTTGACGGTCTCCCGAGGCCCGGCGAGGGCCCCCCGAGGCCGAAATTGGCCCCAAACCTCCAGTCCTGACGTTATGACGACGCGACCATGCCTGGGCACGCCCCCCGCTCGCAGGGGATAACTGTAGAAGTGGATCTCGTCGTCGTCGTCGTCGTCGGGGGAGGGGGGAGGAACCGACATTGGGACCAGAATTGGAACCAGCCACACAGGGGCCGACAAAGCCCCTGGGCGCCAGGGAAGCGGAGGCTGCTCGAGGCTGTGTGGGGGCGGCCCGCGCGGCGAGGCGTGCCGTCGGCCGCGCGGCAGGGTCCTGCCGCTCACGCGCCGCGCGCGCGGCAGCGCGGACCTGTGCGGCTGGTCTTTCGTGTGGCCTGGCCCTGCCGTGCACGAGCAGCGCGTGGCATCGTGCAAGGAGGGACTGGTGGGGAGGAGGAGGAGGAAGAGGAGGAGGAGGAGGAGGACGAGGAGGAGGAGGAGGAGGAGGATATTGTTTTTTTGTTGTTTGTTTCTCTTTTTTTTACCCGCGTGCTCACGCTCGTGAGTGGGTCCCCCTGGTCTCGGCACCCCGCGCAGGGAAACGCGCCCGAGGCGGGGTGGGCCAGCGGCCTCATCTCACGGCGTCCTGCTGCCGCCACTCGTAGACTCCTGGAGTCGCCCCGCGAGCGGCGGCAGTCTGAAGGAATGCTGCCGCCGCCCTCTCAGAGCTTGAGGAGCAGCCTGATGGACGGCCGCAGCCGCTCCTCCGCCCTGCGCTCTTCCAGGGACCGCACAGGCCGCTGGTCCCTGGACTCGTGGGCCTTCACGGCCTCCTTGCCTGGCGCAAGGCTGTGGCCTAACCCCTCGCCACGCTGGGGTGCATTGCGGCCTAGCCCCTCGCCGCGCAGGGGTCCTCCGAGGCCTAACCCCTCGCCACGCTGGGGCCTGCTGCGGTCTGGCCCCTCACCGCGCTGGGGTGCTCCGTGGTGGCCTAACCCCTCGCCACGCGGCGGTCTGCTGCGGTCTAACCCCTCACCGCGCTGGGGTCCGTCGTGTCCTGACTCCTCGCCACACTGGGGGTCAGTGCGGTCTAACCCCTCACCGCGCCGGGGAAAATCGTGGCCTAACCCCTCGCCGCGCTGGGGGCTGCTGCGGTCTAGCCCCTCACCGCGCAGGGGTGCTTCGTGGCCTAGTCCCCTCGCCGCGCAGGGGCCTGTTGCTGTCTAACCCATCGCCGCGCTGGGGTCCTCTGTGGCCTAACCCCTCGCCGCGCAGGGGCCTGCTGCGGTCTAACCCCTCACCACCATGGGGTCCGCTGTGGCCTAACCCCTCGCCGCGCTGGGGATCGTTGCGGTCTAACCCCTCACCGCGCTGGGGTACTCCGTGGCCTAACCCCTCGCCGCGCAGGGACCTTCTGCGGTCTAACCCCTCACCGCGCTGGGGTCCTCTGTGGCCTAGCCCCTCGCCGCGCGGGGGTCCTCTGCGGTCTGCCTCCTCGCCGTGCTGGGGTCCTTCGTGGCCAGAACCCTCACCATGCTGGGGTCTGCTGCTGTCTAACCCCTCGCCGCGCTGGTGCCCTCCGTGGCCTAACCCCTCGCCGCGCCGGGGTCCTCTGCGGTCTGCCAGGTGGTACCTTATGCTGTGCTGTACCTCTGGGATCTGCTGGTGGTTGTAATCGCTGTCCTGCTTGTCTGCGGGCTCCTGGAGGCAATCCTCGCTGTTCTCCTCGTCTAGGAAGTGGTCGAGGTCTGCCATGTCCTTGGTGCTCCGTCCTGCTGGTGGGGGACGGGCACCCCTCTGCATCCCGTCTGGCGCAGGGCTGTGGCCTAACCCCTCGCCACGCTGGGGTCCTCTGCGGCCTACCCCCTCGCCGCGCAGGGGTCCATGGTGGCCTGTCCCCTTTCCACGCAGGGGCCTGCTGCGGTCTAACCCTTCACCGCGCTGGGGCCCACTGTGACCTGACCCCTCGCCTCGCTGGGGGTCGGTGCGGTTTTGCCCCTCACCGCGCTGGGGCCCTCCGTGGCCTGACCTCTCGCCACACTGGGGCCCTCTGCAGCCTGCCATGTGGCACCCGATGCTGTTCTGGTGATCTGGGGTCTGCAGGTGGTTGTCATCGCCGTCCTGCTTGTCCGCGGGCTGTTGGGAGCTGTCCTCGCTGTTCTCCTCGTCCTGGGAGAGGTCTTGGTGAAGGATGTCCTTGGTGCTCCGTCCTGCTGGTGGGGGACGGGCACCCCTCTGCATCCCGTTTGGCGCAGGGCTGTGGCCTAACCCCTCGCCACGCTGGGGCCCTCTGCGGCCTACTCCCTAGCCGTGCAGGGCCCTTCGTGGCCTTACCCCTCGCCACGCAGGGACCTTCTGCGGTCTAGCCCCTCACCGCGCTGGGGTCCGCTGTGGCCTAACCCCTCGCCGCGCTGGGGTTCTGTGCAAACTGCCCCCTGACCATGTTTGGAACCTCCATGGTCTCGCCCCGCGCCACGCTGGGGGCCATTGCGGTCTAACCCCTCACCGCGCTGGGGTGCTGGGCCTCCTTCTTGTTCTGCTGCTGGCGTGACCGCTCCGACGAGCTGTTCTGCCATGGTCCTGCGTCGCGCCGCCTCGCGAGGGTCCTGCTGCTGGGCCCCCCTGCGCTCCACTCCACTGTTGAGCCAGGCCATGCGGCAGATGTCCTCTGCCGCTCTGCGCTGGCTGTTTTGTCTGCTTGGCCCTGGGATGTCACCGAAGAGCCGCTGGCATGGACTTGTCTGGAGCCCCCTCAGCACATGGGGTACGCACGCCGCACTCCACGTTTGCCAGCCTCTCTCTCCTGCTTGCTGGGCCCAGCCCTGTAAGCGTCTGCATGAGCAGCTCCAGGCGGTTCCTCGCAAGCCAGGCCAGCTCACGCTCAGGGTCTTCTTCATCTCCTCGTTGCTGGCCGAGTCGCGGGTGCTGCATGCCTGCCTCCTTGGCCCCCCTCACGTACTTCATCAGGTTGGGCCCTGTCGGCTTGGCGGTCCATGGCGCCCCCTGCATGGTCGTGCTGGCCTCGACGCTGGTTGTAGCTTCGTTGTGCTGTTCTAGCGCCTCGATGATGTCCATGCCATGGTCACTGCCATGGCCTTCCAACTCTGGTACCTCGCTGTCTGGTTGCGTTGGGTCGTCGTCTAGTTGCACTGGGGTCCACGCCCTGTAGCCATCCGCCGTGCTTGGTAGTGGTCTGCGCTCACTGCTGGGGATGCTGTGGGTGATGCTGATCGACCGCCTGCCCTGGAAGGCTTCCATGTGTGCCCTTGCCGCCTGCTGTCTGGTGCCGTGCGGGAGGGTGAGCATGTGTGTCATGAGCCTCATTCTCGCCTTGTGGGTGCTCTTCCAGATGTCCTCGCAGAATAGGCTGGTCTGGTCTGCTGGATCTCCCATGGCGTGGCTGCCTTCTTCTGGTCTTGGACGTCCGTCCTACTTCTTTTGGTTGCGG